ATTATTATTATTATTATTATTATGTCTTTGGACTGTGGGAGGAAGCCTATGCAAACACTAGGGGAACATACAAACTCCACACAGACAACACTCCAGGTCCAGAGTTGAACCCAAGGACTCAGCAATGAGAAGCAACAAAGCTATCCACTGCACCACCCAGGAAATTAATATGCGAGTCGTCTGCCTTCTCTAACAATGTTAATTCACATATTTATTCAGTGTAATAATTTTTGAAGCAAGATTTATTGTAGAACACTATATATAATACCTAGATTCTAAAATTAACTAAATTATAGTTTTGTACAATCAAAACTGTAAATTATACAAATGATTGAGTTATTAAATACTGTACAGTCTGATGAACTGCTTTTCCAGGACAGGCTCCAGACTGCTAAACGCCTTTAGTAGGAGTAAATGGCTTTCTGAGAATGGACTGTTTCCACTTCATACAGTGCTCCTGTGCTACTGTTACTTCTGAAAGCAGGAATGGCAAGAACATACATACTATGTAACTATTTGAGAAAAGCATAACATTCAAAAGAGCTGTTTTACTACGTCTCCTTTATAACATAGTATGGATCGATACAATTCAATAAATCTCCCTTTAACATAAGAGTTACACACTTGAAGCGAGGACCTTCCTCGTTTATTTTGAACGGCTTTGGCGACACGAGAAAATTAATGCTTCCTTTTCTCAGTTTTAAAAACGTTTCCACGTAGTAATAGTTAATAATTAACCCAGTAATTCATTTAGTATGTAAACAGTCCCAGCCATAGAGAGAGAAAAATGGTTTTAAACATTTAAAAGAACCTTACCCAGACTCTTAAAAACATTTAAAAGCACCTTACCCAGACTCTTAAATTTTTGTTTCGCTGTTTTGGCATACGCATCTCTGTCATGTAAGGCATACGGAATGAATAAAATTCTTTTGACATCCCTGCACGGAAGAAAACAGTATGTAAACACTCAAACAAAACTTTAAATATTGAATTCATCTTCTTTTTTTTGCGCTCTGCAAATAACGTACTATCTGTAACACATTTAACCAACAAAGTCCATCTGTGAAAAAATTGCAGGGACTTGTTTATGCAGAACTGATCTCAAGTTTAACTGCGTGACTACCGTGTGGCATGCATAATCCGTGTCGATGTAGTGAGTGGTCATGGCTCAACTCAAGAGGCGACGGGAGTAAAGCAACGAGCAGATTTTAAAACCTTACTCTCCGAAGAAATCTTTTATCTGCTGCTGGCAGTGATCCAGATATCCCCCACCATGCAGAGTCGAGTTGGAAACCAAGAGAAGTCTTCTATTCATTGCTTTCGTTAGAAACTGTGCGGTTTTCAATCGTCGAAAAGCGCAAGAAGGTTTCAATATGGAGCTGTTAAAACCAAAAGTCAGTTTCACAACCGTGAAGAAGTAGCGTGAATTAATATTCTAGACGTAAAAGAAACATTTAAGTGGGGCCAAAGTTTAAAATAGCTGCCCAAAGACCGCCCTTCCGGTAAGCATATCTACATTTTGTAGATAAAAGTTGTGGCATTAAACCATCTTTGATAAGGTTTTAAACCCCAGTGATTGCTGGGGGATACAAGATTCCCAATTGTGGGGGTGCGGGAATCAACATAACACCAGCATTATCAATTTTGTTCGAGGTCAATGAAAATGGTCCTTTATTGTATTGTGTATAAAATGATTGTTGCCTTAACTGTAAATATAAGCTGAAAGCTAATACAGTAAAAGGAAAGAAACTGCTATTTCGAAGACCTCCCTCACAAACACGAAACCGATATGTCCTCAAGGAATGACAACACAATGACACAGATGAGAAAACTAACTTATACGTGTATATTCTCCGATGCCCTAATATCCAGGAGGCTGGACTAACGGGATGTTTGATTGAGAAAGTCTAGGAAGTTTAACAAAATAATAATAATAAAAAAAAACTTCCTTAAAGATAGATTTCTTAACATGAAGTAATGATGGGTTTAAGAAACACCCTTCAAACAGTAATACACTACTCCAAAAACACAAGTCGTCCCAATAAAAGTCACGTGAGAATGCATAAAGATCAAGGCATCGTTAATCAGTGAATAAAGGTGAAACTACACAAATAAAAATATTTTTCCAAATATCTTTGAGACCGCGCGTTGGCGGCCACTAGAGACCGACCTATCGTTACTACAGCCCTTCCATTTTCCAACCCACCAAAATCATAAAGCATTTTACGAACTATTGCAAATCTACGAAGAAGAAAAGGAAATAATGTCTTAAGAATGGGAAAGTGCAAACACTACTCTGCAAATTTATTTGGATACATTTACATAACGGTAATAATAAAATGTGCAACGTTATTTGACCTAAGAATCCGTACAGTACCCTACGTGTGAGGACAGGAAACAGACTGAGCAATATAGATACTTGATACATTACCTGCGTCCCAATTCTCCTAATGTAAATATGGGTGAGGAATTTACACAATATTTGCATCACTTCATCTGATACCCTGTGCCAAAGTTGACCTCCGATATTGATCTTCCAGACCTTGATACCTCTTCAGAGCAGAATATAGACATCTTGCATCTTGATTCTAGTTGGGAGCTTGTTGCTTTAAGATCTTTATGTTGTGGTGGTTCTGCACCCAGTCCTGGAGATTTGGGACATCTGGACACTGAGGCTGGGAGGCTGGGATGGGTGTTAATGTGTACAAGATAAAAGGACACACAGGAAGTTTTAACACATTATTAAATCAAAGTTCCAACAGGACTCCTCCTACTAGTGGATCGTTAGTATTGCTCATCACTGACAAGTGTTAGCTGAGGTGTACATTAAAAGGTGCTTTTTTTTTATGAATGTCAGCTTCAAAACTGGACTAGGACACAAGAGATCGCTGTTGTGTGGTCCTGACATCCATATCTTCAAGTCTGAAAGGGAACTGCACATAGTGGAACTCATAATCGAAAACCAGCAATGCTCACATACTACAACTGAAGGATTAAATGTGAAGGACTGAAAATCAAGGAAAGGTTGGTCAGTAATGTATTGGCAAGACCTCCCTTAGAATACTGTGGACAGATGTAAAAGGTACTACTGCTCTGCAATCCACCCAAATAAGGAAATAATTAAGCAATTAATAAAGGAATTAAGCCAAGTTTGTCTGTGTCTGTCAGTGCCACGTTTTGGACTGTACTTCCAGGATGTATCCCACCTTGTGTCCATCTTTTCCCGGGACAGGCTCCGACTCTCCCTTGCCCCCGAATTGGAAGAAGCTTTAGAAAATGAATGGATGTATTAAGCCAAGTAAACAAAACAAAACAAATGAAGTCTTCAACACAGAGGACTGCCCAGAGCCTTTGAGAATGTAAGAAAAGGACTCAAGAGAACAAGGCAATGTTTTTGAAGCAGCCAGATTCCCGGGGAATCAGGACAAATCAACAACTCATTAAAACTACCCAACTTTTTTACTTTACCATTCCCCCCCATATATTACTTTAAGTTACATAAATATGACAAAAGTACACAAAGGACAACGCATTTGGGTTAAACAAGTTTATTTACAAAAGTAAGGGCTTCTGGCAGTTACGACAGTTTCTGTAGGCCTCCGCATCACATACTGTGCTTGGTAACAGAAACAAACAGCAACACAAATATTTCAAAAGGCCCAATGAAATAAATAAACCCCCAAACATGGGTGTTTCACCCAAAACATTTCGTGCTACGTAATGCGAGCAATTTGCAGCAAACCACGGTGATCATCCAAAGAGAGAGACTCGCTAAATGTTTATTGCCCATGATGCGAATATATTTCAGTGTTCTGGATGGAATACACTAATGACATTTCAAGGTTTTTAATATGCTTTATTTTTGCCACACCATACAATGGTCTTATATCAACTTATTTTCCAGTTTAAGTATTATCAATGGTAATGGTCAAATGTTTTTTTTTTTTCCCCAACCTGTACGCAGGTGCTTTTAAAGACATTAAGTACCAGTTATATTACTGAGAACTACATGGAAATTTATTTTTCTGGCATGAGTGCTAGACATTTTTATACAGCTATGAGAAACAAACGAACCCAAGAGCAGTGTGTCCACTTATTTTCGGAGATCTCGGTGTAATCTGGCGTCTGACATCTAACAAATCTCTTTCTTTGCCTTCACTGATGCTTTGTATTCCTAGTACTCTTCTCCGTCTTCTTCTCCTTCATAGGAATCAATTCCCACCTCTTCATAATCCTTCTCCAGGGCCGCCATGTCCTCTCGTGCTTCAGAGAACTCTCCCTCCTCCATCCCCTCTCCCACGTACCAGTGGACAAAGGCACGCTTGGCGTACATCAGGTCGAACTTGTGGTCCAGGCGAGCCCAGGCCTCAGCGATGGCGGTGGTGTTGCTCAGCATGCACACAGCTCTCTGCACCTTGGCCAGGTCTCCCCCAGGCACCACTGTTGGGGGCTGGTAGTTGATACCCACCTTGAAGCCAGTGGGACACCAGTCCACAAACTGGATGCTCCTTTTGGTCTTGATGGTGGCGATGGCCACATTAACATCTTTGGGCACCACGTCTCCACGGTACAGCAGACAGCAGGCCATGTACTTGCCATGACGGGGGTCACATTTCACCATCTGGTTTGAAGGCTCAAAACAGGAGTTGGTGATCTCAGCCACCGACAGCTGCTCATGGTAGGCCTTCTCAGCAGAGATCACAGGGGCGTAGGTGGCCAGAGGGAAGTGGATGCGAGGGTAGGGCACCAGGTTGGTCTGGAACTCAGTCAGGTCCACATTCAGGGCACCATCAAAGCGCAGGGAGGCAGTGATGGAGGAGACGATCTGGCTGATGAGCCGATTGAGATTGGTATAGGATGGGCGCTCAATGTCCAGGTTCCTGCGGCAGATGTCATAGATGGCCTCGTTGTCGACCATGAAGGCGCAGTCAGAGTGCTCCAGGGTGGTGTGGGTGGTCAGGATGGAGTTGTAGGGCTCCACCACAGCTGTAGACACCTGGGGAGCTGGGTAGATGGCAAACTCCAGCTTGGACTTTTTACCAAAATCCACAGAGAGGCGCTCCATCAGCAGTGAGGTGAAACCAGAACCAGTACCACCTCCAAAGCTGTGGAAAACCAGGAAACCTTGAAGACCTGTGCACTGATCCGCCTAGAAGAAACAGAATTGATCAATCAAATCCTTTGGATTCTAATCACAGATGTCGGTCCAGTGGCAAGAAATGAAAAACTGGGGGTTTTAGAGTGTACAGTCAAAAATAAGTCACATGAATTCTTAAATAACTGTTCATGGCATTTGTTAACGGGGAAATGTAACTTATACAAATGGTCCAACTCTGCTCACTTCCTCATTATAACAGAATACTTTCCATACAGACTTTTTATGCACAGGAGCAGAAAAAAAACAAAATGCACGTTCCCTGTTAAACGGAACTAAAAAACAACAAGCAACTGGACACAACACCTGTACATAGTAATTTGATATGCCTGTGAGATCAGCTGGAACCTACATAGAAATGCATTTAAATCCAAGAACAGGAGGCACATCTTTACACAAAGAGTTGTGTAGGTATGGAACAAGCTGCCTAGTTATGCTATCAAAGCAAATGGCACCAGGCTACACAGGCCAAATGACCTCCACTCATTTCCAAGTATTCTCCTGTTCTTACAGCAACCTTTCAAGATGACCAGATTAAATGAACCCACTCCCATACTAAAATGACTGTTTGACTAGTTGACTGGCAAAATCAGTAACAAAAAGAAAACTTTAACAGCTCACCACACATACCAATGACCTATGTACTATATATGCTACATAATTAAAATAGTGGCAGGTTGCTCATTGAAGGGACTGTACAACAGCTGCCCAGCTGCCACTAGAGGCTGTTAAAAACACATCTAGATATACATGGTAATAAGCAGCTAATTAATTAGGTAATTAGTGAAGGGTTTAGAAGCCCACATTCTTACATGTGTTTAGAGTAGTGAAGTATTTCACTGAGTATTAATGGTGTTAGGCTGGGACTGGGTTTTTTTGGGGAAAGAGAGTGGTCAAATATCCACACAGTATATCCATCTGATATGTCTGTAATGGTCATCTCCAGTTGCTCTATACTGGATGTCCTTTAACCTTTGACCTGCAGAATAAATGACTTGATTTACTCACCAGTTTACGGATCCTATCCAAAACGGGGTCGATGATCTCCTTGCCGATGGTGTAGTGCCCGCGGGCGTAGTTATTGGCAGCGTCTTCCTTGCCAGTGATGAGCTGCTCGGGGTGGAACAGCTGGCGGTAGGTACCTGTGCGCACCTCGTCTGGGAATACAAACACTTCAAAATGTAGTCTTCATACTTTTTATGTTTATCTCGTATACTGAGTGTTAAAAAAAACTAGATTAACATGTTTTTCGATAATGAAAAATGTGGATTTGGGATTTTGCTTAAATATTTTCGGCTGGGTCAGTCTTCCCAGAAGCCAATCAACCTACCAGTATGCTTCTTCTCGATGATAACTTATTAACAAATGAATGGGCATTATAACTAAATCTTTTTTTTCCTGGCATACAGTACATTTAATAGATGCATTTAGCTCAAAACTGACCCAGGCCGAAACAAACGCATGTCATGGGTAATGAAAATCATGTCAGATGGCAAGAGGAATATATATTCACAGTGAGAACAGAGACAAAATAAGAACAACAAATATATCCTTATAATTCCTGAATAAGAGAAACCCCTCCCAATCTTTACCTCACCTTCATTCCGAGCACTGACCAGGACCAAGAAAAATCCCACCCAAAAAGAAAACAAGGAAGAGGAGACCCCAGCTATGAATTCTGTCCTAATCCCTCCCCCCCACTCTTATCGAATCTGTGACAACCGATTCCTCCTCTTCACAATAGTCAAAATACATTCTAGAAAAAAAAAAAAATAGTCCTCTATTCCAAAACGCTAGAAAAATTCTGCCATCTTGAAAACATTTGAGGACACAGGATACAGTGAGAAAGAAAGGGATTTTCCATTGCCATTACCTCAATTTTTACGCATCACAAGTCAGTTCTTTCTAAGCCATCCAAATTTTGTGAGATTTTGGGGTTTTTACTCATGGAACTCCTCAACGCAAACTCTACTGTAGGGACTGATATTTCACAACAGTAGCAGCAGATGATTCCTTTACCAAGAATTACCAGTGAGGTTTTGCTATACATGCACACAAGGACCCAGACTGTCTGGTCAAGTCCGACTTGCTTGCCTTACCTATGACGGTGGGCTCCAGGTCCACAAAGATGGCCCTGGGCACGTATTTCCCTGCTCCAGTATCGCTGAAGAAAGTGGTGAAGGAGTCGTCGTGCCCACCCACCGGCTTGTTGCTAGGCATCTGCCCGTCAGGCTGGATCCCATGCTCCAGGCAGTAGAGCTCCCAGCAGGTATTGCCCATTTGGACACCAGCTTGGCCCACGTGTACAGAAATGCATTCACGCTGGGATGGGAGAAAGTCAAGGTTACCTTATGAAGAGTCAACAGTAAACCATATCGCTTATTTCAAAATCCCTCACAAAAATCTAAGCATCTCTCCCTATGAAAATATCTGATGTTCCAGCTATAAGTGAACTTTGTTTTGGCTCTCTTCCCCGCGCTCCAACTAGGCCTTAGGAGACCAATAATGAACATTTATCTTGCCTTCGGTGGGCCTGTGGGAAGATGGCAAATCGTAAAGGTGGAAAACGTTTTTAAAACACCTCAAGTATAGTTCTACATGCCATACGTCTTTCATACGTGTAGCACCCAAGGACCCAGGTTGCAGAAAAAGTGTAATTGAAGCAACTGAAAAGAAACTTTAAAACGTAAAAGCATGCTATATACATACACTGAACTCAAAAGAAATCACTCCATTCATGATAGATTTTAGATTTTGATTCAATATTTTGGTGTAAGTTTTAATTGATCATTCGTGAATGATCACCAGATATCCAAGTGACTTTCACTGTTGCACAAGCACTTAAGTCACTACAATGGTGAGAGAGTTGCTTGGACACAGGTGATGAGGGCGATTCAACATGTTTAAAGTCAAGACTAGTGAAAATGACAATATTCCCTGCTCATCAAAAGGAACACAATATTGCAATGCGTTAGTGGCTCACTCTAACACGCCGTTACACATGGTACACACCTGGCAAGGGATTTCAGGAAAAGGCATTGGAAAATACAGTCTCTGTCCATGTCAAGTTATAATCTTGACAATTTTGACTCGCTACACTTTTCCCCAAGATCAAAGAGGGGCTCCATATGTGATTCAGTTGGCAGGAATTCACCGAGAGTTTTAATTACCAGAGTCTGGACCTCAGTTTTAGGTCTCATCCGAAGGATGGAACCTTTTTACAGTATAGTGCCCCCCATCATTATACTGGGGCATTAGGACCCACATGGATCGCAGTATGTAATATCTCTTCCAGTAATCCTTAGCTTCAGTGGATTGCCAGTGAAGCTCAGCAGGTGTGAGCCTGGTCAGTGCCTGGATAGGTGACCTCCTGGAAAAGCCAAGGTTGCTGCTGGAAGAGGTGTTAGTGGGGCCAGCAGGGGGCGCTCACCCTGCGGTTTGTGAGGGTCCTAATACCCCAGTATAGTGACGGGGACACCATACTGTAAAAAGCCACCGTCGTTTAGATGAGACATAAAACCGAGGTCCTGAGTCTCGGTGGTCGTTAAAAAATTCCAGGGCATTTCTCAAAAGAGTAAGGGTCTTACCCCGGCGTTCCTAGCCAAATTTCCCCCTGGCCTGTACCAATCGTGGTTGCTACAGAATTCCATGTGCAGAAATTGATGGGAGCCTCACTGCACAGCGCTATGTCGATCCAAGTCAAAGGAACCTGGACTGTGTGGGTCCATGCGGCCTTCACACGTTCCAGAAGGACTATGCACATTCTCATACCACACACGCCACTGTAGTTTTCTCACAAGATGAGAATGTGACAGCTACGCTGTGGATGATGTATGGGGATCTAGGGCTTAAACAACTGCAAACAGGTGCATGCTTGCCCAGGATCTATGAAAGGTTAAAATCCTACAAGACTGCGTCTGCAAACAAGGCGTAAAACTTGTCAGAGACCCCTGGTTTGTAATTCTTCCAACATTGGTCAACTAAGATACTACCCAGGAACATTAACATTGTTATCATCATGGCTTGTTGTAACTCAGCATAACGAGTTTATCTAGTTCATTTCTGTTCCAAGACAGATTAGTACACGTTAGTACAGTGTTTAACATTGCTGCCTTGCAGTGCTGGAGTCCTGGGTTCAATTCTGGACCCAGGGAGCTATCTGTGTGGAGTTTGCATGTTCTCTCACATGAGTTTCCTCTGGATTCATTGGCTTCTGGGAGAATTTGCCTTGGTGTGTGTCTGTGCATGTGCCCTGTGACAGACTGGCATCCTGGCCAGTATGTATCCACCTCTTGCCCAGTGCTTGTTGGGATAAGTTCTGGCTGCCCTGCACATCTGTATTGATATATTTAGAAAATAGAGGGATGTCTCTTCCAAAAAAATATACTGCACCTGCATGGATTTGACCATTTCCCTGATAACTTTGTAAATTTGTGGCAGTTGTTAGCATCAGGTCTCCCCTGATTCCACTGTACACAAATTGCACTAAAAGGATGTCTGAAAATTGTAATTATGCATAAAGCATTTTAGATAAAGGATTAAAACATTAACATTTGATAAAACCCAACTCCAAAGGACAGGAAGAGAAACAGATGCCAGAGCGATCCCAGTTAACAGAAACAATGTGCCATTTTATTCATGTCACCTTAAAATTCAATTTGCGAGCAATGCGTTTGGCTGCAGGTATAGGTTTCATTGTTCAATTCAAGGGACTTCCTTTCAAACGTCAGGATACAACAAAAAAAAGCTTCCAATTAATAATGTTTATTTTCAGAGAACTTGCTGATCAGGCAACTAATTTGTACCAGAGAGAGAGAAACCTAGTGTTTGATGGAAAACAATAAGAGAAGAAAATGAATTGCTACCGATATTAGAAGCAGTAGTATAATAGAGACTAGGAGAGACCAGAATAAAAATATTATAAAAAATAAACACCTTTTTCATCTCTAAACAAGCTGTTCAGGGACTGAAATTTTGTAGACACACTGACTCCCCAGTGATCAAGACTGGACACCCCTACTCTCAACTCTTGACAGGACTTGCATTTCTCTATGCTTTCTCATTAAAATTAAAAATAGAGTTTAATAAGGAAGACTTCAGCTATCGACACCCAGATTTTTTCTGAGAGTCAAAATTACAAGCTTCTTTTCCCACACTAATCACAGCTCTAATAAAACATTGCTCGAGCCCAATAAATCGATATTATACTGTATGTACCGTTTGTGCTATTTTTATCTCATGCAGCCTGCAGGAACATTACTGATGGAAGAGACTGATTAAAGACCCGATTTTATGATATATTGACAGAGCCTTGATTGACAAGATGGCACATTAGTTAGCATTGCTGCTTCACAGCGCCAATTCTATTCCTGGGGTGCTGTCTGTGTGGAGTTTGCATGTTCTCCTCTGGTTTCCTCCAAGTGTTCAAAAACATACTGGTTAATTGGCTTCTAGGAAAATTGTCCCTCAGTGGGGAGTGTGTGGCCTGTGATGGACTGGGGGGAGTGCAAGAGATACACTAAGGGAAATCCTGAGTGTGCGACTTATTTGTAGGTGAACGGAAGTGTGCAAGATTAGGATTTAACCCTTTTACCAAACTTCTGTTAATATTACTCTTTCACAATAGCTCTTCACTATTCTCCTGGTGCCACCAAAGCACAAATGATCCATTAATAAAAATGTGCCATTTCCTTAGATTAGAAATCTGCAAATCGATACAAGCGACTGTAAAATACTGGATTTAGCCGTTTGGCGCAGCTGGGGAAACTATCTGCAGTTACAGGGTGCAATAATAATCCTAGTATCAGCACCTACTATATGGATTTATCCTGCTGAAAATAGTTCCATTCCTCACGGGGCTGCTCTATTTTAGCCTCCCCAGTTTCCAGTTTGTGAAGTGTCCTAGAATCGGCCCTTGCCCCAGAGTTTTTTCCAGTTTTTTCTTCCTGGGGGCCAGCTTTCTATTTTTAAAAGGCTGCCGCAGCCACTGCTCCTCCGATAACAGGCAGGTCGGGGAGATTAGATTGCGAGATGCGATGGCCTAGTTTGGGCAAGCAGCCCAGGCC